AAATAATAATTAAATAAAGATAATAATAGTGGCAGCAGTAGAAGTAGTAGTAGTGAGAGTAGTATCAGTACTTAATTCATCGTCAAAATGCTTACTTGCACATTGACTAAATCTATCTTTCATCTGGCCCTCAGTGCATCAGCTTCGCTTTTTGTCTTCTCCTAAATCCATCCGCCCGCAGGATTGTTTGCTCAAATAGTATCCTTCATTCGACTATCCTCGTGTTGGATATGATCTCGACGATAATCAGAATGTTCTAAATAAGCTCTGCAGTAATGAGTTTCAGCTCTGACGATGCTCATCACGTGGCGGAAAGGGTGAAGGCTCGGACACTGCCGTTTTCCATTCGGCTCTCGATGCTACCATTCAATTCTGCAAAACCTGCTCCCTGTTTAAAGTGATGGAGGAGCAGTAGTCGAATTCGGCCACAATCAGTTGAATAGGTCTTGGGTTTTCATTGTGAAGTTGTAGTCAGCGTGCTTGCACAAAAGGTTGCACTACCACAATCCGGGTTCAGGTGAGGTCGAGTCTGCAGTCGACTCGAGCCTGGCTGAGAATTGCTTTTGGGGGGCAAAGCTGTGTGAGACTCATCAGATTGAGGGAAAATTCAACTAACTTCAACTTCATATCATAAATAAATGATCTGCCGGTGGTCTAGAAAACCTGTTTATTGACGAAAAACAAAATAGTTTACTTATTTTGTTTACTATTCTGTATCCACTTTAATCCGATCCCTTGTGGCTGAATGCTGTTCGCCTTAATTCGGTGCAAACGTATTATTCGGCCCGCAAGAAATGGAGGAACTGATGGAACAAAGTGAGGCTATGCAACCATATTCTGTACAAATATGAGTCATTTGCAGAAGAAACCATTCAGAGGATTTGGCAAAAAGCGTGTGTCTGAATTGAGCAGACGCGTGAATCAGCCAGTCTTTCGCAAAATCTGTATGTTTCTGCCCATTTCTGTCCCTAACCGAGGCCCATCGCCAGCTTTGGCCCTCTTTTGCTGGAAAAATTACAGCTTCTGTCATTTGTTTATTTATTCATATTTCGTGTGCTGCCTGGAAGGAATGCAGAATTTGGTTCTAGCGTAGACTGACGACTTAGACTGTCGAATTGACTGCAGCAGTCATCGGCGCAGAGTTCTGCGTGTCTGAAAATTTCCTCAAAAATCGTCAATTCTGTACGGCCAGGCATAGCCAGTGTTGGAAGGCATGTACTTCAACTTTTCACAATTTCCTTAAATAATGTATTATC